TGGACCTGCCTCTGGAGTCGCTCAATGAGGGTGGACTCGAACGCCTGGCACCCGCGTGTGGCGTTGCGAAAGGTGGCAGGGCTCGCGATTTGCAGCGAAAAGGGCGTTGAAGGGTATAGGGTTCAAAATTTTAGAGGTTAGGGTGTTGGGGTTTGGGGTTTCCTGTGTGGTAGCTTGGGGGTTAGGGGTTTTCAAGGTTTAGGGTTTAGGGTTAGGGGGACAGAGAAAGGGTGCAGGGGCGGCAGTGGGAAGAGTTCCTTTGCAAGTTTGAGTGTTTGGGGTGGCGGGATCACATCAGCAGAAGAAGTCCCGTTTAGGGTCCTTATGCTAAGGGTGCCGTACTATATAGGGTACGCAAAAAGGGACCCCAATTTAGAGAACTACCCAAAAGCAAAAAACATATAACAGATCTATGAGCTGGAGTCGTCCGTGTGGGTCGGGTTCATCCGCCTTCGTAAGGCGATCATAGAACTTCCTCAGCCCAATGTATGAATCTCTCAACAATAGCACTGCAAATCTCTCAACAACAGCACTGCAGCCCTCAACCCCGATCCTAAAACCTCAACCCTCAACCCCAGATCTTGAACCTCACCCCCTCAAGCCTAGACATTAAAACCTAAAACCCCAACCCTAAACCTCAACCAAACCAAACCCTAAGCTACTCAGCCGTCAATTACTAAGCCTAAGGGTCCATGTACCCCTGTAGCCTCTACTTGGGCCTGAAAGGGGTTCCTCTACACAGTAGCTTTAAGGTGCAAGTATATACTGCGTGGGTACATGGACCCTTAGGGCAACCTTCACGCCCAAGCTGCAAGCGGTTCCTTTACAGTAGTTTTAGGACCCAAGTATATACCCTAAACCCTAAACCCCAAGCCCTAAACCCGAAAACCTAAACCCTAAACCCTAAACCCTAAGAGGGATATATATATATATATATTACATATAGTATAGGTACATGGACCCTTATGGTAAGTCTGGATCCTCACCTCGAGCCGCTCGCGATTCTTCTCTGGCCCCTCTTGGAATGGCTGGTCTGTCCTGGGAGGGTTTAGGGTTTAGGGTTTAGGGTTTAGGGTTTAGGGTTTAGGGTTATGTGTGGGGGCGGGGGGGGTGGGTTGGGATTTATTGGGTTTTGGGCTCAGGGTCTGGGGTTTGGGGTTTAGGGTTTTGGGGTGCAAACTTTGAACGGGCTGGTAGCGGCTGGTATGGCTTGGGCTTGCTGGGTGGCGGCTGGCGTTTCAGGCCTGCTTACGGCTTACGACTGCGCGTCTTGGCCCTAAAGCCTAAACCCTAAGCCCTAAACCCAAGGCCCTAAGCACGAAACTTGAAACCCTGCTAATTCAGCACCGGAGGCCTTCGAGGCACCCTTCCTCATATGGGGGGGGGGTATACACTAACTTCAGCCCTAAACCCTAAGCCCTAAGCCCTAAGCCCTAAACCCTAAACCCTAAACCCTCAGATGAGGGTTGCGGGCTTAGGGCGGGGCTCTCAGATGTCACGGACCCTAACAAAACACGTAAAGATGGACCTTTCGCCCAAACTTGGGGTACGCACTTCAAGAGGCCTCGTATGGGGGGTTTCCTCTTCAAAGTGTCTTGAAGGCGTTGCGCTCAACTGGCTTGAGGGCGCAAGCATCTAGACTATACGGGTACATGGAAGGGCTACTCCTAAATCCTAAAGCCTTATAGGGGGTAGGGCTTGTCGGCTGGGGCATGCCCTCCCAGCCGATCATCCCTTAGCCCTAGAACCCCAAAGCCCCCAACCAAAAACCCGAAACCCCTTGAGGGCTTAGGGTTTAGGACCCCAAACCCCAAATCCTAAACCCCAAATCCTAAACCCCAAATCCTAAACCCCAAATCCTAAACCCCTCCTAAACCCCCAAACCCCGAAGCACTGGGCTCCCTGACCACTCACGCTTCAAGGCCTTGGCTTCGCTGGCCAGAGCAGCAGCCCATGCTGTTCCGGAGCTTCCAGACAAGCTCGGGGTGCGGAAGGGTTACTTAGTTGCTGAGTTCATAAGCCCCCCCACAAAGTGTACACTTTCAGTTCTATAGGGGATTCTAGTATCCCAAAAGTGTAAAGTGTATTCACTCAGCTACTAAGGTTAGTGGTCTAGGAAACTTTAGGGTTTAATGGGGTTCAGGGCTTAGGGGCTTAGGGAGGTTAGAGTCAGGGCGATAAGCTTGGGTGTACTTGACGTCCGAAGACAGTAGCCAACAGATTTCCGCTTCTGCCCTTGTAATCTTGTACAAGTATTGTATCAATACCCGAGAAACATTGCCCAGAATGCACACCTGTGCCCAAAGCCTAGTTTTCAACCAGACTTTGGGTTTAGGGTTTGGGGTTTGGGGTTTTGGGGTTTGGGTTTTGGGTTTGTTTTGGGTTTTGGGTTTTGGGTTTTGGGTTTTGGGTTTTGGGTTTTGGGTTTTGGGTTTTGGGTTTGGGGTTTGGGGTTTGGGGTTTGGGTTTTGGGTTATGGGGTTTGGGGTTTGGGTGTCTTAGGGTTGAGGTGGTCCCCAGACGCAACATCGAGGTCATGCGCAGAAGCTACCCCCCTAAACCCTGAGGCCCTAAACCCTGAAGCCCTAAACCCTAAGCCCTAAACCCTGAAGCCCTAAACCCTAAACCCTACACCCTAAACCCTAAACCCTAAACCCTAAACCCTAAACCCTAAACCCCGAAGCTTGCTTGCTCAGAGCTGGACCCATTCACGGTCATCCCTACCTTGGTTTGAATGGCTGAGGGGTTCAGAGGCCTAAGGCTGCAGGGGCTTGTGGGGGCTTAGGGTTTAGGGTTTAGGGCTTAGGGTTTAGGGCTTAGGGCTTAGGGCTTAGGGTTTAGGGCTTAGGGTTTAGGGTTTAGGGTTTAGGGTTTAGGGTTTGGGGTTTAGGGTTTAGGGTTTAGGGCTTAGGGTTTAGGGTTGAAGGTTTAGGGCTTAGGGTTTAGGGTTTAAGGGTTAGGGGTTAGGGGTTAGGGCTGAATAGTCGTTTACAAGGTCTTCGGGCTTGACTTGTGTAGGTTTTGTTTTTGATTTTTTTGGGGGGGGTTCGGGGCCAGGCCTGGAATCACCCTTATCGACCCCTAAACCATCCTAAAACCCTAAACCCTAAACCCTAAAACCTAAACCCTAAACCTCTAGTTTTTCTTCATGGAATGCAAGGTCAGTGGAGTTTGCTGAAGGGTGCTGGTGCAGATTTGAGAACAACCGCAAGGTTTTAGGGCCCAAGGCTTTAGCTCTCTTGGCTTACCTGATTTGACCCATGGGTGCGGATAGGGGCCATGTTATAACAGTGCCTCGCAAACGGGAACACAGCTTAAGGGAACTTACCACCCACCAGTAGATCCCAAAGCCTGCAGTAGGAGGCCCTAACCCCGAAAGACTAAACCCTAATCCCTAAACCCGAAACCCTAAACTTAAACCCTAAACACCCTAAGCCCTCAGAAGAGGCCCCGGCGGTTCTCACACGCCTGCACGAGATCGCTGGGCTCCTGACCTGCATCTCACGGGTGCATTGTGCCTTAAACACAGTGCTGTTCTTAGGGTTTAGGGTTTAGGGTTTAGGGTTTAGGACTTAGGGCTTAGGGTTTAGGTACCCTGTTAAGAAGCTTAGGGACCTGATCGCCCATGAAACTTCCCTCCGTGCTGTGCTCTACTTGGAGAGGTTTAGGGTTCCGGGTTTGGGGTTAAGGGTTAGGGGCTTAGGATTTGGGATTCAGGGTTTGGGGTTTAGGGTTTGGGGTTCAGGGTTTGGGGTTTAAGGGTTTGGGAATCAAGGGTTTACTTGGAAGTTCATGGTACTTCCAAACCCAAATAGAAAATGCACTTCTAACACAACCAGATATCACCACATGCTGGCAGTTAGAAGCCTCTATGTGTGGGTTATAAGCACCGTGATAACTGGGCTATACGTACCCTGTACCTCCAAGTAGGGTTTGCCCCCAATAGTGCCCATCATCAAGGCCCATGGGTTGAGGCAACGAGAAAAGGCGATATGCTCAGTTTAGAAGGTTTAGGGTTCAGGCTAATCCTAAGCCCTGAACCCTCAAGGAGCCTGCGGGGGGGGGGGGGCGGGGGGGGGGGGGGGGGGGGGGGCAATGCTGGATGCCCCCGACGCGCCAGCGCGGCACGCAAGCGCTCAGCTTCGGCGCGCAGGCGCCTCGCAGCAACCCCTAGCCCCCCTTAACGAAGCGCGAAGCCCAAAGCCGAAATCCCGGTGTAGGGTTTAGGGTTTAGGGTATAGGGGTTAGACCATAGAACGTGAACCCCGTCGTCCTAACCTGAAGGACATGCTGCTTACTGGTTGTTGGTAATTGGGGTAAAAGCCAACTCGAGTTGGGGTAACCTGTACAAGGCCTGATGAGGGGGTTCCAAGAACAGTAGGAAAGGTCACCTCAGTTATAATTAACCGTTATACGAACCCGCTGGTAGGTCCCGAGAACCTTCAAGTACACCCTATACCTAAACCCTAAACGACTAAGGTGCATTCGGATGGGTTGCGCAGGGCTTCTCAACCCTGCACCCTCAAGTCTTGGAATCTTGGTCTGGGGTTGAAATTCCTTTCGCCTGACACATCCACGCCCCCCCCCACCCCACCCCCCGCTTCTTAACATTGCGATGTGTTTAATGCGAGGTGGTGCAAGAACTCAGTCATTCAAACAAACTCCGTCATGTAGACCCTACAACCCTCTATCTAAAATGGGGGTGGGGTGCGGATACACAAACAAAGTCAGCCTTTTTCAATACATGCATATATATATATATATATTTATGATATATACACACACACGGGTTCTTTGGGAGAATTTATCGAAACCAAGATGGATTTAGGTTCAAGGTTACCAAAGCCTGAGCCCGAAGCCCCAAGCCCTAGGCCCCAAGCCCTAAGCCCTTAATCCCTAAGCCCTAAGCTCTAAACCCTAAACCCTAAGCCCTAAACCCTAAACCCTAAACCCTAAACCCTAAACCCTAAACCCTAAACCCTAAACCCTAAACCCAACACAGCAGCTAAGATAAAGGAAGCATGCTAGCGTGGCCTGGCTCGCTCCTCAGCCTGTCGCGTGCAAGTGGACAACCACAGGTTCAGGGCTTAGGGTTCATCCAGGGTTCGTCTAGGGTTCATCTCGGGTTTAGGGTTTAGGGTTAATCTCGGGTTTAGGGTTTTAGGGTTTAGGGTTAGGGTCACGGGCTTACAGGACTTAAGGCTAATCTAGACCTCAAAAAGGGATCTCAAGGGCATGAGAGCAGGTTGCAGGCTTCAGGCTATCATGGTGTTGCAGCTATGCATTTCGCTTGCGACTGCTACAATCCAGCTTTTAAAGACAGGCAGGGGTTCATGACGTGCCGGAGCGGCCTCCACACAACTCAAACCGCCCTAACCTAAAAAGCATGGGCTATTATACCCTCTAACCCCTTAAAAGGCCTTTATAGGGTTCATCATGGGCGTCCTTTATAGGGTTCATCATCGGCTATCATACCCTGGAACCCTAAAAAAGGCCCTTTATAGGGTTCATCATGGGCCATTATTCCCTATAACCCCCTAAAAAAGGTCCTTTATAGGGTTCATCATGGGCTATCACACCCTATATCCCCCTAAAAAAGGCCCTTTATAGGGTTCATCATGGGCTATTATACGCTACAACACCTTAAAAGGCCCTTTATAGGGTTGGTTCTGGGGATATATCTACTATTTGCTTACCAACCCCACAAGAATAAAAAGAAATAATACCCATACTAGCCTTGATAAGGAAGAATAGTTTCATGTTTGGAGGGTTCTTAAGCAATTCGCAGTTATAGGGCCTAACAGCCCATCCTGGAAGCCTGAAGCCCTACGCCAAGAACGTCCGGATTAAAGGGTTTGGGGGTTGCAGCGCCTCGGGGGTTCAGACCTTGGAGTTGCTAAAGCCCTAGACCCAAAACCCTAAACCGTAGGCCCTAAGCCCTGAGCCCGAAGCCCTAAGCCCTAAACCCCAAACCCTAAACCCCTAACCCCTAAACCCCTAGACCCCTAAACCCTAAACCCCTAAAGCCCTAAGCCCTAAACCCCTACGCCCTAAAACCTAAAACCCTAAACCCTAAACCCTAAACCCCTAAACCCCTAAGCCCCTAAACCCTAAACCCCTAAACCCCTAAACCCCTAAACCCCTAAACCCCTAAACCCCTAAACCCCTAAACCCCTAAACCCCTAAACCCCTAAACCCCTAAACCCCTAAACCCCTAAACCCCTACACCCTAAACCCCCTGTTTTGTCGGTCGCCTCCTGGGCTGCCGCCTCAGCCTCCGCCAGGGCCGCCAGCAGCTCGGCCCCGCTGAGGCCCTGGGGAGCCGGCATGCTTGGGTTTAGGGTTTAGGGTTTAGGGTTTAGGGTTTAGGGTTTAGGGTTTAGGGTTTGGGGTTTTGGGGTTTTGGGGTTTAGGGCTTAGGGTTGAGAGTTTAGGGTGTAGGGTTTAGCGTGTTATGGCGCAGAAGCTGTGAAGGTAGGGATGCTGACTAGCTTCGAAAGCTTCGTGACATGCAACGGGCAGCTGTGGCCCGATTGTGGAGGGCCATCTTACTGACAGACCTTCACTTAGTTGTCCAGTAACCTCGGGGAACTAAAAGTTAACCTTGGGGAATTTATAGGGTACTACCCAAAAAAGGTTAAAGGTTTTCTACTCTACTCCATGTACTAAGTTCAACCCATAAAGACCTTGTAAACCTTAAGCCCCAAAGCCTAAACCACACCAAAACCTTAAACCCTAAATCCCCAAATCCGTTGCTTACTGTTTCTGAGGGTTACTTCGAGAAGATCCCCCGGGTACGCAAACATCGGGCTACTTCTATAGCGAACTCCAAAAATGTTGGAACATTCTTATCCCCATACCCCAAAAGGTATACCAAAGGGAATCCCAGCTCTAATCATCCTCAAACAATGTTCCAACTTTCTGAAGTTTTTTGTACAGGGTTTAGGGTATAGGGGGCCCGAGGGGTCCATGTACCTCATTATTTTTGATTATTATATACTTGGGCCCCAAAGTCCCCATATCCCCATATAGGAAGTACTTGAAGGCAAGCGTAATCCCCGTTTAGGCCCTGTATAGGTACAGGAGTCCTAGGGGTCCGAGAGATTGTCAAGAGCCCCGAAGCCTGTGGTGAGGGGTTGAGGGGCAAGAAAAAAAATAAAAAAACGAACTAGGGTTCAGGGTTCAGGGTTCAGGGTTCAGGGTTCAGGGTTCAGGGTTCAGGGTTCAGGGTTCAGGGTTTAGGGTTTAGGGTTTAGGGTTTAGGGTTTACTGTTTAGGGGCCTTTAGGGCTTCAGGGCTCAGAGAAACTTGTGCAGGAATTGTCGGGGTTCCGAGGTGAGGTTTTAGAACGTTTAGGGTTTCGGGTTTAGGGTTTAGGGTTTAGTCTCCCTTTTTATACCATGTTAGCCTAATACTATGATGACTTAAGAAAGACCTTCCTTAGTTCCAGGATAGGGAGCCCGGCCGAAGATCTTAAGACCCGAGCCTAAGGCTGAAAACGGTCCTCCCGGAACTCCTCAGCCTGAAAATCCCTGAGACCACAGCCCTGAAACCCTGTAGGGTTTGGGGTTTGGGGTTCCGTGTTTACAGGTTGGGGTTCTGAACCCTACAAGGAGGGGCCCCCTAGTTACAAGTAAAGTTTTAAGAGCCCTAAGTTGGGTTATAAGGATCCTAAATTAGGTTAGAAGTCCCTTAACTATAGTCAGTCTAGTCAGGGCGCCCCTCCTTGTCGGGTTCTGAACCCCATAAACCCCAAAGCACCCGCTCGTCGCAGCCAAACCACCGTCATCTGAAGGTGGCGAGAGTGGGCGCAACTTTCTCCGGCCTTGGAACGCTAAACCCTAAACCCGAAACCCTGAACCCTAAACCCTAAACCCCAAACCCCAAACCCTAAACCCTAAACCCTAAACCGCCCCTAAACCCTATACCCTAAACCCTAAACCCTAAACCCTAAACCAGGTGAGTTTGGGGGTTTGATGTGCCTGTGTAGCCGCTGAGGCCTAATAGCATCACTGGGCTTTGGGACCTTTGGGAATGGGATTGGAACCCTAAACCCTAAGCCCTAAACCCTAAACCCTACACCGCCCCTAAACCCTAAACCCTAAACCCTAAACCCTAAACCCTAAACCCTAAACCCTAAACCCTAAACCCTAAACCGAGGGTGGCTTTATGGAAGCTTGCGGCATGCCAATTGCAAGTCAGCCCCCGGAACAAGATTCGGGCTGCTGAGGCTCTTCAGATGAGGGTTTAGGGTTTAGGGTTTAGGGTTTAGGGTTTAGGGTTTAGGGTTTAGGGTTTAGGGAGACCGTCGCAACTGAAATGCTCTTCCAATTTCTTAGCGGCTAAGGTTCCGGTTTGCAAGGGGGGAGTTATAAGTAGAGTTTTAAGAGCCCTAAATTGGGTTATAAGGAGCGAAAAATAGGGTCTAAGACTCCTAGCTACAGTTGGTATAGTAAGGGGGCCCCTCCTTGTAGGTTTCAGGGTAAACCCTAAACCCTAAACCCTACACCCTAAACCGTAAACCCTAAACCCGTAACGGGCCCTGCAGTCGAAGAAAGACCCCAACCCAAAAAACCAAACCCCCAACCCTGCACCCCCCCGCCCCCCCAGCAGCCGGCCAATTTTGGGGTGCCTGGGTGCAGGTTTGGGGTTTTTAGGGTTTAGGGTCTTTCATCAGAATGCAAAGATGACTGGCTTGTGTGCTCGAGTTTGGTTCGGGGCTTTGGGGCTGCTGTGTGCACTTGACTTCTTCTCCGCGCAAAGAACACCGCACCTTTGAGCAACACGAACGCCCGCCCTTGGCAGACTTTGGCCTAGGCCGGGCCCATAGCCAATTTAATATACTACATGGAGTCTAGCAGAACACACGCGTGCTGTGCCACGATCATTCCGAGCTTGAACTGGCACTGGCATCCTCGCTGGATTCTTGTATGGACTGCTGCGTTGTCTGTACCCGTAGCTGCTGGGGCCGGCCAGCAGTTCGCACGGTTTGCTGGCGCACGCTTTTCCGGCCCTGTGCCATCTCACACATTGTGGTGATTCGGAGGCGGCGAAATCCAGGATCCGTTGCCTGCCTCCGTAGTGACATGTTGCCTGGCATGGCAGGCACATATGGCGCCGGCGAGGTGTAGACTCCAACATCTCCAGAAGACACGCGCAACTTCTCTGCTGAGCCCTTACCATGCGCGGCATCGATGAAACCTTGCGAGTTTTTAGCAGGAAGGAACAGGGAATTGGAAATTGCATCCCCCCATGTACCCCTCTTAAGAGATTCTAGAAGGCATCCAAGTCCACCAGTACAAGAACTTGGTAGCCCACTAACCATCTTGTAATACGGGCACCCTTTTTGGGCTGGTTCCTTTTTAAGGGAACCCAGAACCCAAAAAAACAAAAGGGTCAAGGGTACCACTGGGCCACCAAGACAAGAAGCGGTCCGTCTCATCGACGATCTCTTCGTTGATAAGCTCCTCGAGGACATCTTCCAAGGTGAGGATGCCAAGGGGCCTTGTGTCCTCAGGCACCACGTTGCTTCCCAGGTCCTGACTTGTCCAGTATCCTTGGGGGTTTAGGGTTTGGGGCTTAGGCTTTAGGCTTTGGGATTATATAGGGATTTTCTAGGCACAAACAAGGGCAAAGGTTGCATACTCTACTACCAAGGGTCGGTTCCTCCGGGATAAACCAGAGCCATGTGTGTGTGGCCAGTTTGGAAGATGTCCAAGACTTTGTATAGAGGCTCGTCCTCATGCACAAGCACCTTCGAGACTGCTCCGCCCCCCCCAGAAAATAACTTGGGACCGCCAAACCCTACACTAATCCGTGCTCAGGTGCACCTCCCTAAACCCTAAACCCTAAAAACCCTAAACCCTAAACCCTCAACCATAAAAACCCTAAACCCTAAAACCCTAAACCCTAAACCCTAAACCCTAAACCCTAAACCCCCTGGGCTTCATCAAAGGCACCAGTGGGCTGAGCCGCTGGGTGGCCACAGGCCAGGCATCCT